CGTGGGTTCGAATCCCGCCTGCGACAAACATTTTTCATTTCGAAAAATTGTGTATAATTAATTGAGCAATTATATAATTAAGAATAAAAAATCAGAAACGCGTCATTTAATATTGTGTTCAATATTTTATATGTAATAATTCATACCATGTAGAAAATATTTGAAAAAGTGGTACAGACAAATAATCACACGAAATTTTTTTTCTATTTTTGACTTCCTTATATAATTTGAGTAAATTAGCTTAAATTCAGAAACGATTCTGCTCATTGTTCAGTGAATTCTTAAATAATCAATGCCTGATCGTGAATTTGAATGTATAAATTTGTAATAATTGATTTTCCTTAATATTTTCATTTATAATTTGTTGCAATCAAGAATGAGGTAGTTTAGAAAAACACCTTTTTCATTTTTTCGCTGAGTTTTTGTCCTTTATTCGGGGTCATCCTCAGGGCATAAAGTGTAGTGCTATTCTGTGACAACACCTTCGCACAAAACCAATATGACACCACAAGAATAGCACCACACTTTATGCTCTGAAGATGTCCCGAATAAAGGTCGAAACGTCGACAAAAAAATGAAAAAAATGTGTTTTTCTAAACTACCTCATTCTTGACCGCTCGTCACGACTTGAACAAATTATGAAACAACAGGTCACTAATAAGGGGGCGTCGGTGGCCGCAACGGCTTAGGCGTTGACACGGCGCTCATCACTGTAAGGTAAAGGTCGCGGGTTCGAATCCAGCGGCCCTGCATTCGAACCCGACATACTTACAAATGGTTTTTTTTTTCAAAAACACCGGCACCCCGAGGGTTGATATAACCTCTGCTGTTGCGAACCCTCGAAAAAAAAAAAAAAAAAAACAGGTCACTAATAAACCCATATTTTAATTTATGGTTTTCTCCTTTTTTTTCGTGATCATGACCTCACGAAAACTATGTATGAGTGCGAGGTGGATGGTGGTGGGTTAAAGAAAAATATAATAAAGGGACAATGTTCCAGCCCCAAATGGATATAAAAATAATATAAAGTATTGTTTCTCGGTTATAATTGACTTAAAATCAAGCAACATTGAACTTCATTTTACAGAAATTGTGTCATTTTTTGTATTTGCGAATTCGCCGGTTTTTCCAACCGGGTTTCCATCACACGATCTGAAATCGGGCTTTGCGAGGTCAAGGAAGCCGGGGTGAACGTCCTGACCGACCGCTTGATTAACACGGGACGGATCCGGCCGAGGATTCTGAGAGGGTGCGCTCTCGGCTGGTGAATTATAAAAAGCCAGGGCCCCTGGATCCGGGAGAGCAGGGATGCAACGCCCTTCCCGATCGATTTGCACCAGGCTGGAACGCGCACCAATTTAATTCGGGTCGGCTTGATTGCGGAAAACCGTGCCCGCCCTGAAAAAGAGGATAAATTTTGTCACGGTGAATATAAGTTGGCGCGAAGAAAGTTCTATAAACTAGGAAAACGGAAAGGTTTTCAAGTAAATTCCATTTGACAGGTCGATGGGAAATCCGGGAAGCTTGCTTCCAATCAATCCCAAACGATTCATTAGTACAGCGAATCCTTGAACCAGCTAATTTCTAATTGATTACACATGTTCGACATTGGACTAACTCCACGTGCACATTATCAGCGAAAAACGGATGAAATATTTTCGATCAGACGTCACATTTCGTGGCTAGAAGAGGCGGACAAATGAACAAGGGTAATTAGGCAATTTGAAGCTTATACGATAATATATATAATAAAAGAGTTTTACATCCAACCAAACCAGTCTACAAAGTATCAACTTTACAATATTTGCTAACCGAAGGAATTTCCAAAGGCAATTTGAATCGCAATACAATGGCCCGAATAATCTCAACCCCCCCCCCTTCTCATTCCATATGAAAAAGATAATTATATTTTAAAATTGTATTTACTTAATCTTCATAGAATATGGCAATCCATATATGCATTTAGCAGTCATTATTGACCTAATAATTATTTTAATTAATTATACTTTTAATGTAAGATCTTGGTCGAGATGATATAGCAAGTGAACGAGAGGATTCGAGCCCATGACCTTCGGCTAATACAACGCTGCTCTAACCACTTGAACTATCGTGAGATTAAAAGTATAATTAATTAAAATAATTAATTCGGTCAATTATGATTGCTAAATGAATGTGTGACTAAATAGAAGAAGCCCTAGGCGAAGGAACCGGATCGGGTGTTTTTTGTACAAGCCCAAAATATGACCAAACTTATTAGGGAAGTACACTTCGGTCTTTCAAGCAGAAATACATGCAATCAACGTTTGTCCTAGAAAATCTTAAACAAGGTTACACTGCCAAGTACTCATAAGATCTGATAGCTATCAAAGCATTAGCATATGAAAGAATAACATCAAAATTAGTCAAAGAATGCATCTAAAATCTCAAAAACCTGGGGAAACACAACAGCCTGATGATATCTTGGATACCAGGGCACAAAGGAATTTTGGGTAACGAACTGGCCAGAGGAGGATCCGCAAGACCATACAAAGTCCCTGAATCTATACTTGGGATAGCAAAAACAAATAAAGAACCCACCATCGCAGAATGGATCCCAACAAAACATAAGGAGAAGTGGATAAACTCTAGTGGTGCATAGTAAACTTATGATGAAACAACCCTCACCAAGACTGGCAAAATCTCTGCTGCAGTTGGAGAGGGCTGGACTCAGAGAAGTTATAGGACTACTAACCGGTCACTAGCATCTGAGAAAACATCTACACATGGGTATGTACAGGGATGATCCCATTTGCAGATTATGTAATGAGGAGGAGGAAACAGCCACCCATATCATCTTCGAATAGAAGCAACAGCTCAATGGAGATTTAACCTAACATACGAAAAAACTATTGTACTGAACTAAGGAACTAGGAAGGCACAATAAGCCAGAAGGCTGCAGTCGCTGGGGATCACAAACCCCGCTTCCTAGTATCATAACCATCACCATCGCTAACAGCTCCCCATAGCGATTTCGCCATAGAATCCCGATTTATCGACATTTGAAAATAAGGGAGAAAGAGAGAAAAATTGGAAATGTCGTAGATTGAAATGCGGTGTCTTGGTGGATGGAAGTCATGAAAATTGATGGATAGGAAGTAAATTGTCTTTTCCACAAAAGTGGTTAGAGCGGCGGCTAAAACTCAACGGGGGTCCAGAACACTTAAACTATTTTCATACACGTCTTTTTCATGGACTTTCTCAGGATGCGGACAGACAAAAGCACGCTTGTTCCGAAATCCTTTCGGGTTTTCTACACACGATCGTAATTATAAGAGAAAACGTCTGTAGTGCCCAAAATAAGCATAGCCCCGTTCCTATAGGGTCGTAAACCGATAATCGTAATCTGTGGAAATCGGGATCTGAAAGTGACTTTTATCCCGATCGGGGATTTCACTTTCCTCCTGGGTGAAGAGGGGGAGTCGATTATTCATTAACGGCCTAATGGCTTGCGTTGATTGCCTATTATAATTTTATTAGCGTTTATATCCAAGTCGAAAAAAAAATCAAGTACTTTCTCATACTTAAAGAAGTCGAGGGTATTATTTTTTTCTATTCTTTTAGGAATGCCTTTCTGAAGGTGTATTTGTACAAAACTATGGATTTCCAATGGATTATAGAGGATAAAGCGGTGGAATTATTGTTTTTCGGCTTATCCAAGGATTGAGAAGGCCGCAAGTCGGGATGTGACAATTGGCACTCGTTAAGAAGGAAGGTCGTGCCTCGTTCGGCGTCCGCGGGTCGTCTCACCTCCCACGAGGATGCGGATCGACTTTAATTAACGCCGATCGCATGTCGGCACATTATTTTTTTTTCGAATCCTGACGTTTACATTTTTAAAGGCCAGATGATTGAAATGAAAATAACCTTACAGTTTATTCGTGGCAAAAAAGTGAAAGAATACGCTTAAAGAATTCCTTCTATGGGAACAATTTTGTAGTGGGTTCTTGTTTCAAAGTAATTTTTTTTAAAGCAACGTTCTCGGCGGTGTCAGATGCAGTTGAGGGGCGGCGCAGCGGAAGCGAAGGAAGGCACGGCGATACCGGGCGCACCGCGGAGGATGTTCTGAACGCAGTTCACCGAGTGTGAACCGCCGGGATTGTCTCGGACTCTGGAGAAATCGTCACCGCCCGGGAGAAGGAGCGGAGTGAAAGCCTCTGGGGATTTTTATTCGCCGAGGAGTCCGAAAAAGGAAATCCACACGAAAAGGTCGGAAACGATTCTTCCTTTCCCTCCGGGCGGCGAGTAGTCGGGATCTGGCTTCGGGGACCGGCTTCCCGGGGGGAAAATCGCGGGGGAGGGCGTGCCGTCGGGAACGAGGAGAAGGCGAGACGCGGCGGACCCAACGGCCGTACCGTCTCATCACTCCATCCGTCCCTCGCCTAGGAGGCCGGAAAACGGCTCATTTCCGCCGAAAACTCGCAAAAACATCCTCGGACCTATCCGTAAATCATGTGGTGCACACGCTATTTTCTTTTGGCTTTGACGTATGATTTATTGAAAAAATTCCGGCCGTTGGTGTCCCGGCGGCCAGAACTGCGAATTTCTGTCAAAAACTTCTCGGGACCTTACAAACCCTCATAAATGCTCATCTTTATAAACACGTATAGGTAAATTTAGAATTAATAAGCGAATTAATTCTCTCGCAAACTTAATTTTTTAGGTTTTTATATTTTTTTACCTAACATATTTCGGTTTTTTAAATTTGAAATTTTGTAAAATTCAAAGCCAAAAGAAAATGCCATATCCGTCGACAAAATTGAAGCCGGTTAGACTTAAAAATGGCTTATTTCTTGTTAAAATAAGAGTAGAATTTATCCAGAGAGACTGCTTTTGAATTTTGATCCGGCCTTTGCCTCGATCCTTTCCACTTTCCCCAGCCTCGAGTTAGATGAGCTGTGGGAGTCGCCTACTTTCACTTTCCGATCTCTTCCTCACTTTTTATGTTTTATTTTTTTTTCCAGGCTGCCGGTGGTGAGCGATTGCTCTCGGGTAGGCTCGAGCATGGCCGTCCCTCGGGTTCCCAGCCCTCCACCGCAGGAGGCGAACACGCCTGTCGCCGAAAACTGGTGTTACACGCAGGTAAGCACTTTTTTTAAATTTCGTATTTTACCTCTCTCTCTCTTTCTCTCCCTCTCTCTCAAAAAAAAAGAAAAAAAGGCATGCTGTGAAAGGAGACGGCGATACGCGTGATATGCCAGCATTCGGTCCAAACCTCCATTCCAAAGAACTGTTCCCTTGTTAGCTCAACGGCCCAGTTTGAGAGAATTTTAAATGTTTTAAAGTCGTGAGGGAAACGTGCTTTTTCCATGCGGATGCGCGAGAAATTAAGGGGCTTTAGAATCCGAGCGGACCCTTTGTGAAATTAGGCTTTTGTCAGTCGATCGACTGTCGTTAGCAGTTAGTTGGAAACTCAGGTCCGTTTATTCTCCATGCTAGTCCGTTTCATCCCTTTCCGTTCTCCCTCCAACTCTTAGCCCGGGCCACACTAGACGGAACGCGACGGAAATTTCTGCTGCACAAGCTTACATTCAAAACACAGCCAGCGACAGACTGAACGGAAATTTCCGTCGAGCTACGTTAGTGCACCATCGTCCGTTGGAATGTTCCGCTGGGTTCCGTCTGAACAGATCAAAACAGTGCAAAGTAGATGGGATGCGCCATACCGACGACGGACAAGCGTAGAACGGAAGAGGTAGGTAGTCGGACGTGCAAACTGCAAGTGAAGCTGAACTAGGACGGACTTGGACCAATTTATTCTGAATTTCTATAGTAATACCATAGTATTGGAAGAACATGACAGAATAGCGTCAAAGTTCCTCATGCAGACAGTGTAATTGACCAAGTGCTACCTTCTTCATATTCAGTGGATGAATCCAATGTTCTCTCTTTCTCTTCTGCTTCTCCATTGCCTTGTAAATACACAAAATGAAAAGTTGTTTCATTATACCGTACAAGACCAACTGAGTCACTTTATCAACTGCATATCCAAGCAGTCGTTGAAGTCATTCCGTTCATTTCCGTTGTTTATGTGGCTTGTGCGGATTTTTCGTCACGAAAACGTTCGTCGCATTCCGTGTAGTGTGGTGCCGGCATGTGATTGTAGATTGAAAATTGAGTCGGATGCGTTACTTCCAAGCTATCGTTGCTATCCTGAAGGATTGAGTGTAGTATGACAGTCAGTCGTATATGTGGTTCAAATGTTAAGCTTATATTATTATGAGACTTTTATTATATAGTATAGTTTTTATGTTCATGCGATGTATAATATCACCGTGTAATTCGAGGCTAATGGAAACTATTGCTGGGTTGTAAATACGGTTATTTTTATTATCCTCGTCCGCGAGCACGGATTCGGCCTCGTTTGTCATTTACGGTTTGAAGGTTGTGCCAACAAACCTTCAGTGCTAATGAATGACATAACGGGCTGGAAGTTAAGAACAAAAAAGACGAGAGGGATCGTAAGTCATGTCTCTTATCGGCGATTTCTCGCCGTCGGGCGATTTTTCCGTTTCTCAACATTGGAAAACCGATTTGAAAAATAAAATTAAAATGTCCTCTCTGATCTTGACCTTCGTCGTCTCTACTGGGGATTGCACTGTCTGAGGGGGGAGTACTGTTGCACAACGTCCGACACTCGTTGCATAGTGATTCACACATTCTAGAACTGGTACCACGGATCAATTTGCGATCATCAGTGAAAAAACGGAAGTTGTACTTGTACCAATGGCCGAATAGTGTAAAACGACCAATTCGTTAAAAAAAGAAAAAAAAGATGGTAGTATTTTATGCAGATTTTTGTGACACAACTAAAATAAATAATAAGGTTAGTCTTTTCATAGTAAAGGTATAATTACAAAAACCTACGAAAATCATCTCGAGAAATCAAGTCATGGATCTAACAGTCGAATCATGATCATAGTGATAAAAATCCATACCCAAAAATCTAATCGTACATCTCGGCTAAAATATAATCCAGATCTGAAAATCGTCTCACCTTTAAATATACAATTGAACCAAAATAAAAAATAGTTTAAAAATCAAATTTTAGATTATTTGATGAAATAGGAACGTTTAAAAATATGATCATAAATCCTAGTGAATATACGATGAACTGTACGAATCGAAAATCAATAAATAAAAAACCACTTTTAAAAAAGAACTAGGACCATGTTGAAAATACTAAACATAGAAAAGTATGTATTACGATCAAAGAAAAATAACGGGTCGAAAAAATCTGATCATAAATCAGAATGCAATGTGGATACATTCAATAATTGAACTGGCTTCTCGGGATGATTAGAGTTAAAAGATAAAATCTAGAATTAGAATCAATTTGATTATTAATCATAGATTGAGGATAGTAGATCATATTGAAAATAATAATATATCCTTTGTCATAATGAAACTTATACGCCAGGCCGAAAAAATTTCCGGAAAAAAGACAATCAGAGCTACAGTCTTAAATGGTTCAGCCGAACAAACCTGTAAATAAAGTCGACGAACTTATATGAACCTACGGTGGCCTGTTGGTCGATGAACTTATGCGATCATCGCAGAAAATAACGTTCGGATCACGGTGATCATTCCTTTTTGTCAGGTTCTATACAAGCTGTAAAAGATATATTATAAAAAAAATTACCCCCCCCACCAATTTCATTTATCATCCCTTTTGTATTGAGTGCATCAAAAGCCACCGTTCCATTCATGAAGTGTTTATTCGCCGACGCGGCGAGACCTCGCGGACGCTCGGTCGCCTCCATTTCCCCCGGGAATGACGGAATGGCACCGATTCGATCCGGGATGAAGGATTTAACAGGGCATACAGACGGTTATCCACCTCGTCCGGCATCATCCATGACCTCAGCCGGGCAAGCAGATAAATGTGTTCCGTGAGGATATCCATTCCTCTGTGACTTACGATCTTTTGTTCAATTTATTAATTGTTAACCTTGTATAATTTTTAAAAAAATAAGTAACATTAATTTTCCAGTAAAGACATGCATATTTACATTATTTTAAAAACTGTATTAACTGTATTATAAGGTATTTGCAGTACACCATCCACGCTAATAATTATAAGCTTTGAGGTCCTTTCCAATCCTGCAAGGGTTTAAGGATCTTTAACTAGCCAAATTTGCCGGTTCTCGGGCGCAGTAGCGAACTTCTGGTCCCCTGTTTCACTTTTTGTAGGACGTGGTTGTTTTTTCAAATTGTAAATAGATCTTTTTTATGTGTTTTCGTGCGTGTATTTATTAGTGTGAGTGGGAGGAGTGATAGTGAAATGTAGCGTAACCATTGCCCCTCCAACAGTGTGTGGGTTTAGGGTCGATGGAGTAATATTTATAACTTCGCTAGTTTTCGTGGTCCGCTTGACCAATTAATATCTTTCAATTAATTAAGGTTTTTAGGTGAGATAAAAAATGGCAAAAAGAAGGGAAAATTCAAAAAGTGGGGTTGAGATGGGAAGTTAGTGCCGGAGTGGATCGAAGTCGCGATAGCTCAAGTGGTAGAGCAGTGGCTTATTTAGCCGAAGGTCGTGGGTTCGAATACCGCTCGTGACACTGACTTTTTTATTTCAACTAAAAACCTTAATTAATTGAATAATATTTATAACCCCATCGACCCTAATTTAGGTGTGAATGTATTTATTTGTGCGACTGTATTAAGAACATAGCTCATTAGGGATTTTTATTAGAATGAAAAATTGCCTAAACGAAGGAAAATCCTTGTGAATAATGCAAAAATAAAAATATAGTGGCATAGAAACTGTCCAATTGACGTTTGCAGTTCGAGCACACGCGCCCACCCACGCGTCACGCTTTTTATTTTTCGTCTTCAATTACTTTTTAGTATGTATTGTTTGTGTTTTAGTTTTTATTTTGTACTGTTTATTCGAAATAAATTGAGGAAATCTGACTGAAGAATAAAGTTTTTCATCCGGAGTGATCCACATTGACAAATAATTATCATAAGCTTTATATTATTGAATTTTCAGCTTTATAATTGACAAAAAGTCTGTGTTTTATAATAATTCTTTAAGTATGGAATTTCTGCGTCGGAGATGTTCATATCTGTGTTGGAAAATATATAAAAAAATCTGCCATGACGATTTCAATGTTAATGCGATGGAACGAGGGCCATTGAGATACCCAGCAAGGTCAGTTTGCAAATAAATCGCACATTGAACACTTAGTAATTTCAATTTTAACTAGATTCCATTTGTTTTGAATCCCGTGTTTTTCCCATTCATTCTGTTGGGCCTTCCAAAGGGCATTAGAGTTAATTCCTGTTTGGCCAATTGTACACTGACCTTTGGGTGCGACGAATCATGCACAAGGTACGCCGTACACGTCTGTTCAATTTCATCTTTGGTTTCTTTTTGTCCTTTTTTTCCCGCATTAATTTTTATATTGTGCATCTTACAATTTGACAATATAGAAAAACCAAAAAAAAACAGAAGTTTAAATGAATCAAGGAAAAATATTTATTGTAAAATAATTAACGCTTAAATCGTGCATACATTCAATAACTAATACAGGTCATGGTCATTTTTTTAACGGTGTCACATGCGCACATGAACATAACAGAAGTTCATGGTCGTGTTCACAACTAAATAATAAATTTATTTAAGTATTTCAAAAATTATAAATTTTATAAAGGTTCGACGGTTTTTCTTTTCAAGTACCCTGAAAACAAGCGGATTTCATAGTTAACTTTAATTTTTTTTTACCAAACCAAATGCAGGATGAGAATGGGACATACGCGGCCCTAACTATTTTGCTATGTAAATTCCTTTTTTTTTAATTTATTTACCGTGCGAAATTGTCGCCTTTTCTGTACGGTCCACCACGCGTATCAAAAATTTCTCAAATTTTCTGACACAAGGGCCTGTTTATCACTTTATCAATCAACGGTAAAATCACACGGTGTCACTTTTATCGATTTTTGTATGTGTGAGTATGGTGGGAAAGACTTGAAAAATTGTGCCATTTAACTTTAAGTTAAAATGTGTGGTGTTTTACTTGATGATTATTGAGGATTATTTGGAGGTCTGGTGTGATGTAGGTTTTAGAAAAACA